CAACAACTAACGTCAACAGTATACAAGAAATATTTCCTATAGAAAGTTTTTCAATAGGCCTGAATTTAGCAAAAGTTACCTCCCGTCGGTCGCCATGGTGATTTTCCCTCTTTGTCTTACCAAGTTTAAGAAAATATAGCAGAAATATTGGGTGGAAAATCTTTATCAAATAATTTTTTTTAAATAAAGGGGTTCCAAAAATTTATATACTTCAGAAAAATAATGATTTCTAATTCAAAATAGCAAATATAAAAATTTTAAATTGGTTGAACAATGAAGGAATATGAGCATTTGGACCTCCAGTATGGCGGCCAACGGGAAATAACTCTTGCTAAAATCTGGCCTATCGAAAACTATCTATACTGCGATTGTATATTGAAAAGTCGCGATAAAGTTGAAAATCCGACTATACTTTACTCGCATTGGTCAATATTTTAATGAGCTACGAAAATGCTCTCCTCGTTCAACCACGGCCAGATGGGAGAGGAGCGTACATTTTGGCCATGGTTTGCACGATAAATTTTTTCTATGAAAAAAAACTATTTAGACAGTCAATAAAGAATTTGTTTGTTGTACTCCAACCCACATTTTTCAAGGTGGTAGCTAGGTAGATATTATTATTTGGGAGGGGGAGGGGAGGGCTTTACAATATTAAACAAATTCAAATGTTTTAGAAATCACTGAAATTTATTGATGTTGTCATTACACATAGTGACATTGGATAGCTATACAGAATTATTGTTATAAAAACTTTTAATCAAAAATTTTTAAAAAGCATCCTAGAGGAATGTATACTTTTTAATTAGCTTTAAAATGAAAGAATTTCTATGGTAACTTAAGAAAAAAAAACACCATGGTCAAGAGGTCAAATTTGGTGGTCCCTGTCCAAAGAAAGGTCTTGTCACATGTGAGGAATAAGATGTGAAATATGAAAGCTTATATGGGCTAGGTTAAAGTTTACAACAGATAGAGGAAGAGAAAGATAGGACAGAAATATGATTTCCTTTTGTTTGAGGAAAGCAGTAGACAGAAATCAATTTATACTTGGTGTGATAATTACTTTTTTTTTAAAATTTCAAGGTTTCCATTTGGTGAATATCACTTGGTTCTTCAGAACTGGTCTTCTTGTAAGCTAGGCTTTATAAGAGGTGAATAGTGGTTTAAATGCCAATTAGGACGACACATAGAGCACAATAAAAGTTTATATTTTATCTTTACTTATTAATCAACATCTACATGTACATAAAAATTATTTGTCATATTTTGCATGTTATATGTAGATTGTAAAATATATAGCTGCAACATGTATGTCGAAAGGATGTATTGTTTGTTGTACTTTCATTTGAAAGTAATTTATGGATTTAAAGTAGAAACAATATACCCACAGGATCTTTTGATCCAGGGGCATTTAAATTTCAAAGTGTTGAAAAAAATTAAATGTATTTGGTATAGACAAATTTGACGGGTCGGTCGGAGTACATCAAACAAAAACAAAAATTTCATTGTTGGCCTTGAATGGAAATTGTGTTTTTTTTTTAAAAATAAAATTTATGTTTGATTTTTTTGTTGTTTAAGTTTGTATTTGGTTATGCGACATAAATATTTGTATGTGGGGTATTTATGGATGTTGTTTATTATGTATGGACCTCTTCTTTTGTTATGATTTATGGGGGAGGAAGGGGAGGGGGTCAAGGTTCTAATTTTTAGCTAACACTTTTGACTTCTTCTTAAGAACCAGTGTCAGAATGGCAATTTCAAAGTTTCATTTATTTTTGTTTGGAGATAAGTGTAAAGCTTTACGTTATTTGTAGATTCAATTTTGTTCAAATCATGACCTCTGGGGGTAGGGTGGGACAACAATGGCTGATCAAAATTTTACATAGAAGTAGGAAAAATAAATCTTTTTAAGAACAGCAAAGCCAAGGCATGGTTGGTGATATTTATACGGAAGCATCCTCAGGTAGTGTACTTCTAGATTATTCAAATCAGCATCCTTTGGGTGGTTAAGATTCAGGTTTGTTCACATTATGACCTCCAGGGTTAGGATGTAGACACAAGGAGGGATCAAAGTTTTGAATAAGAAATTATTGGAAGAAATATTTTCCAGAACAGAAAAGTTTTTTTTCTTGGTCAAATTGACGTGTAAGCATCTGCAAGTAAGGTAGTGAAGATTTTAGTTAGGGCCCCGCTCGGCGGGCGCCCTATAGTGATAGTCTGTCCGTCCGTCAGTCCGTCCGAGATATCTTGTATGAAAAATCCTTGTCCGGAGCATATCTTCCCTCCCCTTGGCCCAAAACTGGCTCATACTTCACCCACACAGTGCCTTTGGGTAACAAGTGTGCAGTGACCTTGAACCATGTTTCTGGTTCAAAGGTCAAGGTCATAGCAGACTTGTGTGAAAAATCCTTGTCCGGAGCATATCTTCTCTCTCCTTGGCCCAATCTGGCTCATACTTCACCCACAGAATGCCTTTGGGTAATCGGTGTGCAGTGACCTTGAACCATGTTTCTGGATCAAAGGTCAAGGTCATAGCAGACTTGTGTGAAAAATCCTTGTCCGCAGCAATATCTCTCTCCCTTGGGCCCCAATCTGGCTCATATTTCACTCACAGAGTGCCACTGGTCAATGGATGTGCAGTGACTTTAATTGGTCAAATTTCTAGGTCATGGTCAGAATTAGCCTCTATGTTTAAAATCTTTATTTGGTGCATAATTTTTCCCCTTAATTCCAGTAAATTTATATAACTGAGGATACAAGATAACTGCGATATATACATATATATATACATGTATATATATGTAAAATTGCAGTATCTGTGAGGTGTACTAAATTACTTTCACTGCAGTACACAAAAGTTCCTCTAAAATAAACCTTTTAAACTTAAAGCAATATGGGCTGTATCTTTGAGAAAATTATTTTTAAGGTAAAATGTGCCATTATGATCAATTTGTATGTAATTTAGACTTTTATGATCAATAAGCCCAAAATTAAGTTTAAAATGTTTCAGAAGAAATATTTCTCTACAACCAAATATACAGTTTTATATAAGAAATCATTATTATACAGGACAACAATAATTCAATTTTGCTTCAATCACAGCTAATAAAAAAACAACAGAAGTTTATAAATAATAAATAATTTATCTTTCTGTCATTAAATTAGTTGATTTCAAATTTTCAATAAAATTTTCCGATGTCCAACATGCAGCTCATATTGTTTTAACCTTACATTTTCATGTTCATTGTTGAACGCGGAGCCCTTTGAGATGGTCACCATCTCAATGATATCTAGTTTATTCAAATAGTGTTCGAGGGGGGGGGGGGTCACAATGGGAGATTACCGGTAAGGAATAATGTTAGAAAAACCTAAAATCTTCTTTTCAAATGTGGCAAAATTATACGTATGCTTTATTGATATAGTTACATTCTCAAGTACAGTAATAGACAATTCAAATCCCCCCTCTTTAAACAAGTAAACTTTTCAATACTGATTTGTGTTTTGTAGCTCGGCTCAGGTGAGCTTTTCTGATCACATTTTGTCCAGCACGTCCGTCTGTCTGTATACTCAAGAACGACTGGGCCAATTTCAACCAAACTTGCCACAAAGCATCCTTTGGTGAAGGGGATTCAAGTTTGTTCAAATGAAGGGCCACGCCTTAAATCAAGGGGAAATAATTGGGAATTAGTGAAAAATTGGTGGCATATTTTTAAAATCTTCTTCTCAAAAACCAACGAGCCAGGAAAGTTGAAACTTAAGGGGAAACATCCTAGTGTAGATTAAAGTTTGTTCAAATCATAACCCCGGGGGTAGGGCGGAGCCAAAATGGCTGAACAAAGTTTTACATAGAAATTTATAGGAAAATTCTTTAAAAATCTTCTCAAGAATAGCAAAGCCATAATTCATCATATTTATATGGAAGCATCCTCAGGTAGTGTAGATTCAAGTTTGTTCAAATCATGACCCCTGGGGGGAGGGCAGGGCCAAAATGGGGACCAAAGTTTTACATAGAAATATATAGGAAATTCTTTAAAATCTTCTTCTCAAGAACGACAAAGCCATAATTCATCATATTTATATGGACGCATCCTTAGGTAGTATAGATTCTATCTTGTTCAAATCATAACCCCGGGGGTAGGGCGGAGCCAAAATGGCTGAACAAAGTTTTACATAAAAATATATAGGAAAATTCTTTAAAAATCCTCTTCTCAAGAATAGCAAAGCCATAATTCATCATATTTATATGGAAGCATCCTCAGGTAGTGTAGATTCAAATTTGTTCAAATCATGACCCCTGGGGGAGGGCGGGGCCAAAATGGGGACCAAAGTTTTACATAGAAATATATAGGAAATTCTTTAAAAATCTTCTTCTCAAGAACGACAAAGGCATGAATGATCATATTTTTATGGAAGCATCATCACATGGAATTCAAGTTTTACATAGAAACATGTAGAAAAAATCTTTAAAAATCTTCTTTTCAAAAATAGCAAAGCCGTGATTAGTCCTATTCATATGGAAACATTCTCAGGTAGTGTAGATTCAATTTTGTTCAAGTCGTGACCCCTGGGGGTAGGGGGGGGGCACAATGTAAGTTCAAATATAAAGGGCAATAAAGCCACAGGTAGTCAAAGAAACATGCAAGCGTCCTTAGTAAGTGTAGATTCAAGTTTGTTCAAATCATACCCTCTCCCTTTTAAGGATTGTTTGGGACCACTATTGGGTTTCAACTTTTCAATAATAAACTAATTTATGCTTTTTTGCTAGCCACATTGCTCAGGTGAGCAATGTGGCCCATTGGCCTCTTGTTAAGATCTTTTAATCCAGAGTGTTACTGGAAGTACTGCAAAATTATTCCATTTTCTGGTATAAATACATGAACATTTATTAATATGAGCATTAAAAAAAACTGAACCTCTTTTAGGAGAGGCAGACATTTGACATGGAGAAACCTAAAAAATTAACAGCTTTATATTGTAAGCCTTTGTGAATGCTTCTTTTTTAGGACAAGACTCAGATAACGATGCTGGTTACTTGGTTAATAGAGATTTTCCTGAACCAGTTGGGAGAGATGAAAGAGCAAGGACAGGATGAATCCAAAGAGTATCAAAAGATTCAAGAGGAGTTCCGAATGTTCCTTGCTGAGCCTAAAAACAAGGTACTCTAAAGTCTGCCAGTTTATTAGCTCTTCTGAGCCAAAGGCTCAAAGAGCTAATGCTATGGCCATTTGTGCGGTGTGCGTTAACTTTTTTGAATATTGGCCATAACTCAAGAACCCCTTGGCCAATTATTGTCAAATAATTTGTCACAGGGTATCCTTGGCCCAAGGGCTACCATTTATAGTAAAACTAGGGGTGGGACCCTAAAAGAAGGGGAGATAATCACGAAATAAAACCAAAAGTACTGGTTGCTAAAAAATCTTCTTCTCCAGAACCACCAGGCAGATTTTCACCAAACTTACATACAAGGGTCGGGATATGTTGAAGATTAAAAATTGTTCAAGGCATGACCCTGGGGCAAAGGGCATGGTCTCAAGGTCACTTAAAGTTGACCAAAATTTACACTTATTAAAAACATTGATATTTTGCTAACTATAAAGACTAGGATCATCAAATCTTGTAAGTTGATGCATCTCAGGACTTGACATCATGATAATGCAAAAATAGGTCACGGTGACCTACTTTTTAAATTTTACAGGCTTTTGTTTTCAAATTGATTTGGAGGCATATTTTGGACACTTTAAGGCCTATGATCATAAAACTTTGTCAATTGGTGCATCTTGGGTCCACAAACAACAACAACTTCAAAGTAGGTCATCTTGACCTACTTTTTGAACTTTATGGCTAATCTTTTCTAAAACATTTAATCCCATTATTTCAGACACCGAGAGGTTTAGAATCACCAAATCTTGTAAGTTGATGCATCTTGGGGCCTTAAAACATATTTATCAAAAAGTAGGTCACTGTGACCTACTTTTTGAACTTTGCAGGCATTTGTTTCAAAATTGTTTAAAAGGCATATTTTGAATACTATTAGTCCTATGATCATCAAATTTTGTCAGTTGATGCATCTTTGGTCTTCAGAAAATGTCGACCAAAAAGTAGGTCACTGTGACCTACTTTCGACATTTTATGGCTAGATTTAAGTATTTTGGGTACTAATTGGCTTAGAATCATCAAAATTTGTCAGTTGATGTATCTTGGGTTTTAGGGGATTAACGACCAAAAAGTAGGTCATGATGACCTCGTTTTGACATTTTATGTCTATATTTAAGTATCTCAGGTACTTGTTGGCTTAGAATCATCAAACTTTGTCAGTAGATGCATCTTGGGTTTTTGGAGAATGTCGATCAAAAAATAGGTCACGGTGACGTACTTGTGACATTTATGGCTATATATATTAAGTATTCTTGGGTACTTATTGGCTTAGAATTGTCAAACTTTGTCAGTTAATGCACCTTGGGTTTTCGGAGAATGTTGACCAATAAGTAGGTCACTGTGACCCACTTTTAAATATCTCAAGTACTTATTGGCTTAGAATCATCAATCTTTGTCAATTATTGCATCTTGTGACTCAGAAAATTTCAATCAAAAAGTAGGTCACCATGACCTACTTTTAGTATTTCATAGTTACATTTAAATATCTTCAGCCCTAACTGGCTAAGAATCATCAAACTTTGTCAGTTGTTGCATCCTAGGTCTTAGGATAGATTGTATAAACTATTAGAAGAGCGATTCAAGGCCCTTGGGCCTCTTGTTAGAATATAAAATCTATTTTGAAAACAATTTTAATGTCCCTTTACTCCTGCCATGGAAATAGTTTGGGGAGGGGGGATTGAATAGAAATTATTGACCCAGATGACACTTACCAGAGATGTGTGCTTGAACCAAGGTCATATAGGCAAAATAAGTTGTTAGGGCTCCAAAGAGTAAAATTCTTCAGACCCTGATTTATGATGGAGAAACATGAAAAGCTATTTTCTGGGACAAAGGTTGTTTATGACCATGGGTTGTTTCATGACCCTTGACCAAGGTCACATAAACTAAGTTTGCAGGGTGAGAAGGTGTATATTCTCACCTAGATCATATCATTAAATTGAAAACATTGGTGCTAAAATTTAGTACACAAGTTGCTTATGATTAGGTATATTTTGTGCCTTTCAACAAAGGTCATGGGGATAAAGCCAAGATGTCAGATGTCTAGATTGTAAAATGCAAGTCTAAACCATAAACAAACACCAAGTGAGAACTACAGGCCTGTGTCATTAACATCAGTATCTAGCAAATTATTGGAACATATCATCTGTCGACACATACTGAAACACCTAGAAAAAAACAAAATTTTAACAACACTAAACCATGGCTTCAGATCTGGGTTCTCCTGTAAGACACAACTTCTAACAACAATGAACGATCTGCTGATAAATTATGACAAAGGAAAACAAACAGATTTGGCAATTTGGACTTCTCTAAAGCTTTTGACACTGTTCCACATCAGAAACTACTCCATAAACTCAGTCAGTACGGCATAAGAGGAAGTACACTATCATGGCTAACATCATTCCTTACAAGAAGGACAATGCGAACAGTAGTAGAGGGCGAGAAATCAGAGGCGGTGCCAGTGGAGTCCGGGTGCCGCAAGGCACAGTCCTCGGGCCGCTGCTCTTTTTATGCCACATTAACGACCTCCCAGACTCCGTAACATCACAAGTCCGGCTGTTCGCAGACGACTGCCTCTTATACCGACAAATCAACAACTATGGAGATCAGGAAAAACTACAGGAAGACCTTAACAACTTGCAAAAGTGGGCCAATGACTGGGGTATGCGTTTCAACGCCAAAAAATGCTACATCATGAGCATACGCCAAAAAACCAGCAAATTTTATACACTTGACAATCATGTGCTGGAAAAGGTTGAAAATAACCCCTATCTTGGACTCCAAATTTCGTCAGACTTAAAGTGGTCAACTCACATCAACAAGATCACTAAAAAAGCTAATTCAACATTAGGATTTCTCCGACGAAATTTATCACACTATAGGAAAACAGCCTACGTTTCCATGGTGCGATCAACACTTGAATATGGATCAATAGTCAGGGACCCATTTCAGAAACAGGACATAGATAAGCTCGAACGTGTCCAACGCAAAGCCATCCGTTTCATAAAACGAGACTACCACAACAGGGAAGAGGGCTTCATCACCACCAAGGCCAAGGAACTGGACTTACAACTGCTCCAGCATAGAAGGACCAGCTTGCGACTCATTATGCTCTATAAGGTGGTTGAGGGGTTGGTGCCAGGGCTACCAACTCACAATTTCATTCAAAAAGCTAAGCCTAGACGCCAAATCAAATTAAAAACATTCGATAATTGTGAAAATACAAACATTCTTTCATCTCAAGTCAAAAATAACAGCAAGTGTCTCGAAACAACATCTACGAAAACTAACCAATACCGCTCATCATTCTTTGTGGACACAGTCATCAAATGGAACCAACTGGAGGACAATATAGTTTGCGCTAAGTCCGTCGAGGCCTTCAAGACCGCCCTCGACAGCTTGTGTCAGTAAGTCCGACACGCGTTCTCTCACCGTCGTAGAAAAGCCAGTATTGGTCACTTCGACGTATATATACAGATACAGATACAGATAAGTCTGTAATGTATAAGGAAATAACTTCACAATAGTGCTGAAAACTATACTGTTATTTGCATGTGATATGCAATATTCTACTTTATTGAAATATATATAAACAACTCTCATAAAGATAGATTTATCTGTCTTTCACAGAATTCTGGGTTATTTTGGGGAATTGATAAAAAAAGGTTTCATTAATTTCTAGATATTCTGATGAAATTTTTGTTTTTAATATCTTAAGGATAACTTCTAGATCAAGTACTGTAGATTCCTTATTTTTTGTGAGTACTTTTAATTGCAAAATGTCTATTAAACAGCAAATCACCAGAATAATAATTCGCAATTGGACGGTTGATCGAGAGATTTTACATGTATTTTAACACCATATAAATAAAAGTGCTGTTAGTATTTTATTTCGCGAGTGATGCTTCTCGCGAAATTATGCAATAATCAATTCCTCGCATATAATTAGGAATCTACAGTAACCCAGACATCTTTCACAATACTGTTTTTCCCTACATATTTGATTTTATTTTTTTAATTACAGGAATGTGTCAGTAACAATAGAGGTGTGGTGTATGACCTTATTGCCAGTCATGGAGATGTGGAGGACATGGTCTTCTTTGCTGTATTAATGCAAGGTCAGTTCTGTTTACAAGGTCAGATCTGTTTACAAGGTCAGTTCTATTTACAAGGTCAGATCTGTTTACAAGGTCAGTTCTATTTACAAGGTCAGATCTGTTTATAAGGTCAGTTCAATTTACAAGGTCAGTTCTGTTTACAAGGTCAGATCTATTTACAAGGTCGATAAAGTGCCGGTGGAATCTTGCTCCAGTATTCTCTAACTCTATGTACAGAGCAAGAAATCAGATGATTTGTCATCATTGTAAAATGTATACAGTGGACCCTCATTTATCCGGACGCTTTGGTTCCCAAAGTTTGCCGGATATTTGAAGCATGGATATCTTGAATTACCAGTTAAACAAGACAGAATAACATTTTAAAAATTTGTTCCGATGAAAAATCGTCCGTATACTGAAGCATCCGGATATCTGGCGTCCGGATATCTGAAGGTCCACTGTATTTAATTGAATATTCAGTGTTATAAAATGTATGTTCATGTACTTTTGTATATGTTTTCATAGATTTTTAAAATATATTTGATGTAGATTTTGAGAAAGTAATCACCCACCACATCCAGCATGACAACTACAAAGGAGCTCTAACGCAGCTTATGAAACAGGTAAGTCAATAATATTACAAGTAGGTCAGAGAGATGACAGGTCAGTAAGTGAGATTACAGGTTGATAAATGAGATTAAAAGTAGATGAATGAGATTACACTGTAGGGATGTCAGCGAATATTCGAATATTCATTCGATGAGTTGATATTCGAAAACAAATTTGTGATTCGAATATTCGGTTTTTAACTATAAGCATTTAATAGAGAGAAAAATCTGACAAGTTTTATTTGAAATTGAATGAAGTTTGTACAGCTGACATGAATAAGATTTGATTTTAAAAAATTAAAAGACAGTCCTCTTGGATTACTTTGAAAGTGTGAAGAGTGTAATTATTAGAATAAATTATTCTTTCATCATTAATTAATCAGTGGTATAACAGTACCAATAACCTACAATTAGTTTGTATTGTTGTAAGGACACAGTTTTTCAGAAAACACATGGATCCCTTGTTTATGTATATATCATTAAAAATAATTATCGGGAAATTACTTCACTAAAATTAATTGATTTTAATTGTTCAGTAGATAATTGTTTAAAGTGGTATAAATTGGAGTAAGTAGTTTAGACTTTGGTAAGACGATCAGTAAATCTGGAACATACTAAAGAATTTTTTGAATTTTCAAAAACAAATTTTCATTACATTTTAGATGTATACTCTTCATATACTCTGTAAAATTTTAAAAATATAATTAATTTGCATTTACGATACTCTACGTAAAATTTTATTCCAAAATAATGACATACAACATAGGGATGGGTATCTCTAAAAATTTCGTATCGCGATATATCACGATTTTTTCCCACAATATCACGATAATATCATGATATTTTTAGAAGCAGTTTTTACAATGATTTTATATGAAAAGTCATTATTTTTCTTAAAAAAAATATATAAAAAAACAAAATTTTACTTTCTTGAAATTTTTATGTATATAAAATCAATTATGTTCGGACGGTAAGATGCTGTTCTTTTCACTTTTTACAACATTTTTTATGCTTTCTGTAATTATAATATATAAGATTGAACAAATAAATGAATAATTTCTTGACTTTATAATACGTACATAAAGACCGGTATTTAGGTCTGCATATCACGATACGTATCACGCAACAAAAAATCGCGATATACCGGTATACCGATAAAATCGCACATCCCTAATACAACATATACTGGCTGACAGGAGAGTTAAAATATATACTTTATAATTCAAAATATATTTATTTTATCGAATATTCGAATATATTCGAATACTCCAATCGAATATTCGAATATCAATTATTGACAATTTTGACATCCCTAGATTACAGGTAGGTCAGTGAGATTAAAGTAAATCAGTGAGATTACAGGTAGGTCAGTGAGATTAAAGTAAATCAGTGAGATTACAGGTAGGTCAGTGAGATTAAAAGTAAATCAGTGAGATTACAGGTAGGCCAATAAAATCACAGATAGGTCAATTAGGTTACAGGTAGATCGCTGAGATAACAGAGGTCAGTGATCTTATAGGTGGTTTAGTGAGATTACAGATAGACCAGTGAAATTACAGGCAGTGAGATCGCATGTAAGTCAAGAAAATAATAAGTAGGCAGTGGAATAACAGATGAAATTACAGGCAGAACACAGGTAGTTCAATGGGATTAGTGGTAAGTTATTGATTTACTATAAAATACTGCACAAACAGTTAGTCATTGAGTGAAAATTTCTTGTGGGCATTATCCTGTCAAGCTTTCAGGGTTGCAAATTTTACCCTGACTGACTGCTAATAACTCTATCATAGGCTTTAATGGTGGTGAATTAAGAAGACCTATCGTAAAATGTGTCTGGAGGCATTTGCAGAGGTTGCTCTGCTTTATTGATCATTTGAAATACCTTTACTCCTGCTTACAGAGTGACACAGAGTTGATCTACAAGTTCTCTCCCCTGTTGATGCAGTACATTCCTAAGGAGACAGTCAGTCTGTGGATCAGTAGGAAGGACTCGCTGGAGCCAATGAAACTCATCCCAGCCCTGGTCCAGTACGACCACAATAAATACAGGGAACAGGTCAGTACGACCACAACAAGTACAGGTCAAATCTAATCTACTGGTACCATCACTTAGTGATACAGTCTTACTGAGTCTTTGAAAATTTTACAACAAATATAATAAAATGATGACCATGAGTTAAATTGAAAAATGGGAAATTATTCCTTTTCATGAAAATTGAATAAGATGAAGAATAATTTAGTTAATGCAGACTTTAAAGGATTTTGATGTTTTATATTTTAAGATGATCAATACTGTACCAAAAGAACTCTTTGTTGTAGGGGAATGAGGCCATCCGATACCTGGAGTTTTGTATAGAACAGCTAGATAACAAGGACCAGGCTATCCATAATTACCTGTTGTCACTGTACGCCAAAATCAAACCGGATCAACTCATGACCTACCTCAACATTCAGGGAATGGTAAGACAGTATACTATCTTAGGTATATCTTGCAGTAGAACATTTTGTTATGGTACAAAAATCAAAAGAAGTTTTCTCTCAGAAATGATGAATTTTTGCTTTAAAAATGAATAAATCTGAGTTGAATGATTTAGTGATTTAATTTTTTTCATAGGATGAGGATACAATTTGCTATGACCTGAAGTATGCTCTGAGGCTGTGTGCTGAGCACGGACACAAGCGAGCCTGTGTACACATCTACTCCCTGATGGGACTGTATGAAGAGGCAGTGGATTTAGCTCTTGATGTAAAATTTTGCAGGGGTTTTCATATGAAAATTGTTTATTATACCCCCGCTCCGAAGGACATTTTTCACACACTCTTTCATGAGGCATGCTATATGGTGGGATTCAATTTTGTTCAAATCTGATGTCAACTTCCTGTTTGTCAGTGCATCTGTCCATTTCATAAATAACAAATTTTCGTTGCAGTTTTCTCAGCAACTACTCATAACAGATGCTTGAAATTTTAGTACATACTTTGTTGAGGCATGCAGTATGGCGGGATTTTTTTTTATATGAATTTGATGGCAAATTTCCTATTTTTCCATGCATATGCCCATAACTGAACTTACATGTATGTTTATTAACATGATATTGTATATTCACATCAGAGCGGGGGTATTACTAGTGAGCATTGGCTTACAGACTTCTTGTTCTTTATGGACTCAGTGGAAAAAGTATTGCTAAAGACAAGATTTAGTTTACGGTGTATAAGTACATGTATAAGTTGAATATTTCATAATAATTTCATTGATTTCATTGTTTACAATTATCAATAAAATTAAATCTCACACCAAATGTTCATATTACAATATATTGAATAATGTTACTTTCGACAAGGAAAAATTTAATACCTATGAAACCATTTAAATAACAAATCAACGAAATTTGATCCTCTTGAAAATTTGTGTTTTTCATACAATAGTTCACATAATCCTCATTCAATAAAAGGAAGTAGAAAAAGATGTGTGCATGAATCAGTTGTGTTTGTAGGTGGATGTAGAATTGGCCAAACAACAGGCTGACAAACCAGATGAAGACAACATAGACCTCAGAAAGAAGCTCTGGCTCAGAATTGGTATTAAGAAATTTTTCATAGTTTTCCTCTGTATGGATTGTTTGTTTGGCTTAAAACTACAAGGCATTTTGGTCCTATTTTCAGCATTTAAAAGATTATGACAATGTGAACAAATGCTGCAAGCAGTTAATGCCTGGTTAAAGCAATATTTTTGCCATTTTCTATTTATTATAACTAAAAATGGCCTGTCTATCATTTCTAAACCATCTGGAAATGATTCATTTTCTTATTTTATGAATTATTAATAATGTAATTTTTTTTATCACATTTAATTTTATTCAATTTTGAAATAGTTGTTGAAAAAACCTGAAAATACTTTTTCCCTATTTTTGTACCTTTAGATACTACTTATCTCCAAGTAATTCTGGATTATATAAAGGATTAAAAAAAAACTTTTTTCATTTAGCCCGCCATGTTGTGGAAGATGAAAAAGATGTCAAGCGAGCAATGGAGTTCCTCCATGACTGTGAACTACTGAAAATTGAAGATATTCTACCATTTTTCCCAGATTTTGTGACCATTGATCACTTTAAAGTAATCAATTTTATCATAAAACACATGCACATATATAATGTTAATTTAATGTTTCAATTGAAATAAGTTCATGCATCAGGAGTAAATTTTTCTCTTAAAAGGGAGAGATTTCTAAAGTTAACATGAAAAATTACAAGGCACACTACATAGATATACCATTTGAATTGGTAATAAAGATCTTTTTTAGGCATAATACACGATAAATCTATACAAATGATTACTGTAAAATCCCATATTTTTGAGGGGTCATATTTTCATGGTTTGTAGAAAATACACTGCTTCATGGCAATTTGATTTCTAGTTGAAGAATTTTTCATTAGTAATATATGTGAAAAATTGCATTTGTGGTTGACATAAAGTCATGGGTTCTTTCTTACCTTGAAATCTATGAAAATTACACCCCCACGAAAATTAATGATTTCACAGTAAGTGTTTGGAAAGGTTTGTTTGACCTACTTTTTCAGGATGCCATAGTGACGTCCCTCCAGGAATATAACCACCACATCGATCAGCTGAAGGAGGAAATGGACGAGGCGACTCACAGTGCCGAGGAGATCAGGAAGGAAATACAGAGCTTCAGAAACAGGTACAGAACTTGTCTCAATCGGTTATTTATTATAAAGATTGTATTGTATCCAATGGAATATTGGAAGCTCTCTGATAAAGGAAAATTAGTGAGTGAGTAAACAGTCTTCATAAAAGCAAATAATGTACTACTGTAGATGTCCTTTTTTCCACGTGGTTATAATTCCTCAGAATCTCAATTTCTGTTTAAAGTGCGGGTTGAAAATTACGCACATTTCTCAGACTGTCACTATATGCCTTGCATATATATTAAGTATGCTTGGACAAATTTCCATGGAAAATTTGTGACCGCCTACATAGCGTAAATTAATACCACATGGAAAAAAAGTACTTCTACAGTATAATTTACTGAGGGGAATCACATGAAATAAAAAAAATTGCTTTACCATGGCTTTGTTTACTGTTCAATTGATAATTTCCTCTTCCAAGAATAGATATGACTATACATGCTCAAGGTATTTCCTTTTCAGGTATGCCTTTGTTAATGCCACAGACAAATGTGCTGCCTGTAACTTTCCTCTGATGGCCAGGGCATTTTATCTGTTTCCATGCCAACACAAGTTTCACAATGACTGCTTGATTGGGGAGGTACATGTAATACTTTTTAATGCTTTTATATAAAAGTTCTATTGTTATACATTCTATTGTTTTGGAGGGAGGGAATGCACATAGCAAAAGCCTAATATCAAGTTTTAGAGACATTTCCTTTGATGACTTTAAATATACCTCTGTTCTAAGGATAGAACCTGAGAGATAATCATGATACAGTTATAGACTACGATAAATGTTTTTGTAGGTTCTGCCAAATCTGACGAGTAAGAAGCGTCAGAGAGTGGAGGAACTTCAGAGAAAACTGGCCGAAAATGAGGATATGAGATCCGCATCTGTAGGGAACAGGGGAGATCATCAGTCTGACAAAACACAGGACATCAAGGTTTGTTTGTTTATCTTGTTTACATAATGGTTATGCATCATGGATATCAACCTTTATAGCTCAGTACCTGATTAATGATGCAAGGGTTCTCTGGTCCAGCCATGCATCTTTTCCCTTCCTGTTACATAATTTAGTGCCATTAATCACCCTGAACTCACACATGAAAAAGTTTTGTAAGGAGATAGGAATTTAAATGGTTTGGGCTTTAGATATGGGCCTGGGTAGGGGGTTTCTAGTTGGATTCCTGGTCCAGCCATACATTTTCTATCATCAATTACATTTATATGCATTGTTATAATGATTGGTAGTCAGTTCCTGTGATTGTTGTTTTAATTGACAGGCTGAGTTGGATGACTTAGTGGCATCCGAGTGTATTTATTGTGGGGACATGATGATCAGGTAAGCTCAAACTTAGCATTGCTAATTTAAATTTATTTAACCTTGGGATTAAAGTAGATGTACATTGCTTTATCTCTATAGGATTCTACAAATCATCACCACATTAAAACTGCATATAAAAATATTTTCTCCCAAGACTAATGTGTACTTTCTGTCTTTTAGGAGTATAAGCAAACCATTTGTGGATGAAGATGAACAGGATGTTTTAAGTGGCTGGCTGTAAAACCTAGGAGGGGATTAAAGGGCACGTGGATTAATGAGAAATAGTGTGCAAGATAAACATAGTGCTTGATGGTCAATATCTGTCAGTTTGTTAAGCCCAAAATATTTCTTGTTGCTTTGTTTTAAATGACTCTTTGTTGAACTTTGTGCAATATTAAGTGATATACCTAATAAATTTTATATTTGTAAATCTTAGCTTTTTTTTGTATTTTAAATTTAAGTCCTTAAATCCTGATTTATAACTAATCAGTTGGTCAATATAATAGGTGAATAACTGCCAAGGCAGAAGAAAACATGCACTTTCATGGACATGATCAATCATAACAAATTTTGATTTACATTCAAGATTTTTTAATCGTTGGATATTGGGCTTTCCTGTCAAGTTCACAGCATTGTATAAAAATAAGCATGTTCATGTATTCATCTTAAAGGTGCATAGGCACAGATTTGATGTTAATATTTTCTCAAGTTTTCTGTATAATTTCATGCCTTTTATGTTGCGATAGCATTTCATAGGAAAATATAATGAAAATCTTATTTCACTGGAAGTTATTACAACTTCAAATTTCTAGATGCGTTTGACACATCCTTACACTTTCACAAATTTTAACATTACCCTTAATTCTTAAGAGAAGGAGCACTTTTATTGTGTATTAATGAATAATATTGAAACTTTATTCCATAAAATTCAGGTTAGAAATGTGCGAAAACAAAACCAAAACACCAGTGTTGTCAGTCCGTGCTCAGTGGTGTGTGCAGAGTTTAACAATTGAACACACCCAGTGAAACGTCAACATTATCAACAACAGAGCTCGTGCTCCGTTTATAAAAACTGTTTTCGTTTCAGGGTTGTATTCAATTTGCTAAACTCATTGAGCAAGGACTGACATTACTAGAGAATGAGTTTGCATTTGCACATTTCTACTCTAAAATTTCTGGATTATAGTTTTAATATTATTCATTAATAATTTATGCTGAAGTTTAAACTTTACTATATAGGTTTTTGTAAGCTAAAATTTAAACAGTTTATGCCACATGTACCTAAAGCAGACTTATTCTGCATACAAATAGCTTTCATCACACCTCAAATGGAATCCAAGGATTTATAAGATTCACAAGAGTTTTAAGAAAGAAACATATCACTTCACCAAACATGTTTATTGATGTATCTGAAGACGCTAATCTAATTTTGGTTTTGAAATAATTTTACAGTACACTAGAAGTCGCTAAAGAGACTGTAGCTCTACTGGTTTAAAGTTTGTGTACTGTAGTACAGTCTTCTTGTGTCCCAAAACTTATTGAAATTTGAGATCAAGCTAAGGAAGAGTTGTGCTTTCAAAGAATTTCATAGAATTTCTACTTTCCTTTTTCTTACTTGCCAAAATCAAAAACTAATCAATAGATTTATGCACTTCACAAAAATATAGTTGTGTACAAGGTCTTGAGAAAACAAAAACTGTAGTAGTGTTTTGAAAGATTTTTAGAAATTTTTCTATTTTTAGTGACCATGGCAAAACTCCTTTTCAAAGTCAAAACCAAATACAGAATTGAGTATCTTGGTACTAGTTGTGAATCAGGTCTCGCTGAATTAGGACTAAAACTGCAGGAGTGTTCATTAAAAAAATGGACAGACAGACCGATGGACACTAGACATCTTACTATGGCAAAAACTCTTCTGGTTTCTAACCAGTAGTGTTGAAAACATCATTTAATATCTTGCATTTCTTCATGAGACACACAGTAAAATAAAAATAACATCCAACATTGTTGACCATGAAAAATGATTGTGCTGAAACTCGGTTATGCTTCGCATAATATCACGTTGACCATTATAAAGAATCAATGCTTGATGTCAAAGATGTGCATATTACAAAACAAAAACCCTGAAGTCCATAAACCCTTCTTTAAAACAGAAGGAAACATACTTTGTTTTGCTTGGCATATTATAAAAAAATCAAAGTCTTGGAATTATGATTATGGGTTTTCATCCATGGCATAATGGTTTTGATCATTATTTTCAAACTGATCCGATTCAGAATTCTTTTCATAAGTATCCATAGAAACATACAAGTCTTCAAATCCCTGAGCAACATTGTCAGATAAATTCAACACTTCCCCTGAGAGATCTTCAGTTTCCGTTGTATCATAATCAAAGTTCCCTTGAGGATCTACTGACCCACTTCCAGTCATGTGATTCATATGACCTGAATTTCCATCCAGATGATCCATATGATGCTGGTTTCCTTCCTGGTGACCTATATTACCCTGGTTTCCATGCACATGACCCATATGACCCTGGTTTCCATGCACATGACCCACATGACCCTGATTTCCATCCACTTGACCCATATGACCCTGATTTCCCTCCAAGTGACCCAAATTACCCTGGTTGCCTTCTGGATGATCCACATTATCCATACTTCCTCCTTGATGATGCACACTTGTCATCTGTTGAGCCAACCTTTTTCTCCTTTCCTCAAAGAGTTTACAATGTTCACTTGTTCTAGAACAGATATCCTCTGCAGTTTCTCCCAAACTGTTCCTGATTTCTGTGTTGAGGTTACAGTTTGATAAAAGCAATGAGATCGCCTCTCCATTTTCCTTTTCTGAGGACGCTAAATGAAGGGGAGTTAATCCGCTATTGGTTCTGGCATTTATGTCTGCCCCACGCTCCAGAAGAACAGAAATCACCTCTGCTTGGTTCCACCTCGCTGCACTGTGAATGGGATGCCAACCATCTTCTGTCTGTGCCTCTATATCTGCATTGTGGTCAATGAGAAACTGTTGGGGAGAAGGGATAAATATTCTAAATATCCAAACATACACTTGTATTTCCTATCAACATCATCATAGTGTTATATATACAAATGTACATAAAAATTACTTGTTTAGGCCATAATAAAAATATTTTTTCTACCCCCACCTCAATTTTTTTTATTTCTGTTTTTTCTTCATCTGAATTCTAAATGGGATTGGTAAAAAAAATTCGGATGAGAATCTAGGAATTTTGTTTATTATGGCCTAAACTTAATTGTGAAAAGGAGAAACACCAAAAAAAAATACTGAGGGTCTTTTCCGTACCTTTACCATGCCTGTGTGTCCATTATAACATGCTCGGTGTAAAGGGGTGTAGAGATCACTATCGCGACTGTTAACCAGAGAGGGGTCTTCCTCCAGTAAACTTTTGGCAATGTCCAGGTAATTATTCTCTGCTGCCCACAGTATCTTCTTCTTTGGATCCTCTATGGCAACAAAAAATAATAGTATTTCAATTTATTCAAATAATATATAATATTCCTTTAAGTTTTTCTTGCTGTTTTTAGAAAGGTCTTCTTTATAATTGGAGATAATCTTGTATTTCACAAAAAATTTCATCATTATAAACTTCTGTACATGTTCCGTACACTGTATGCTATATTACTTTGAATTTCTTCCTCTGATTCCTCTTCAACTCCTTGTTCATCCAACTCCCAGAAGCTCTGGAACATGCCAGGATTATTCATCCTAGCAATCATCAGCTGTAAAGATAATTACTCAGAGTAATTATGAACTTTACTTTATAAACATATAAACATTGTACGTGACACTTGAGCTGACCTAATGGTTGCTAACTGCATGCATGGAAATGATTTCACTTATTATATTTCCGCAAAACATCGTACATGCTAAATGTAATACATTTACTGTATTCAATTAATAAACATGTAATGCATATTGCATGTTCAACGGTACTGTAATGTATTAAAAATTTGTGCTATGAGTGATTTGACTGTCTTCTTTCTATCATTTATTCATGAAAATTGAGCTAACGAGCCTATGATAACAGTAAGAATAACAAATTTAATGAGGAAATAAACTAAAAGGACTTTTAGTGCGTTTTAATTACACTTAGTCAGCGCTGTAAGCCCACGTGTTTATCAGTTATTATCACTTTGGTAAACAGGTAAACATACTGACAGTTCAATGATTTTTCGGTCTTAAAATAACTTCTGAATTAAAAAAAATGATGCAGTGATTTCGTATTTACATACAGCTTCTAACAGCTCTGGGTCAAAAGGGTTCATCTTTTCTTCAAAACTGTGTGTTCACTTTTTGCTGCTTTGTCGTTTTTTGAGATCTATTTTCAAGGCCGGAGTTTTTGTTTACCTCCCTTCAGAATACCGAACCCGATCTTAAATATTTTCCCGGGAAACGAAGGAGAGGAAAAACGGTCATCACATTTTCACCGGTATAGCAATGTGTTCAATGCTAACGAATTGTACATTATATATAATGTAATTCATAAGTTCATATTGCCTACCTGAACTTTGACAAAAAACTAATGACTTACTGAAAAAAGTCCTCCTTTGGAATGAAAGGGGGGGGGGGTGGGGTGGAGATCATAGAGAGGGAGGAGGATACCGTTAAGATAAGACAATAGCCCATCATGAAGGATATAGAAGCAGGAGAAAAGGATGGATGAGAGTTGTATGTTTTTTACTTCTACTGTTATTTTGCATATATATATTTAGTTTTTAAAATGATTTTTGACAACATTAGGCTAGATGTTAATATTTGTATGAAAAATATCAAAAATATACCAGATTTTATGCATACATGATATAAATTAAATGCCCATCTCCCTTCTGTGAAACAACTTTAAAACGTGTTGCAATGCTCCCACTGTTTTGTTAATCAGTCATTTGTCTTGTTGACAGGGGTGGATTGCGCCAGACCAACTTTGATGCTTGGCATCTTGTTAGTTATAATAATCTAACTGTGTCTCGGGACAAGCCCTCACCACATTTAGAATACCTCCCATATACTCGCAATATAGCAAATAATTGCAGAATTGCTCAAACGATTTTTAAGAATACAAAAGGATTTGCACTGAAAATAACTTACAAATTAGTTGTAACAAACCTTTTGGAGATTGTATTCCAGGGTATGCCTTTTATCCCCAAAAATAATCCATAAAACGAGGAAAATTCAACTAATTTCTCAACGATTTTTCTCCCTTCAAATTTACCTGCCATGTTTACATTTGGAAGTCTCTAGATTGTCCGTAGTAAATACACTGAGTACGAGTTAT